GTATAACGGCCTCGTACGAACAATGCGTTACCAAATAGACGTTGCTATGTGTAAATTTCGCGTTCTCCTAACGTCTTTTCTTAAAGTAATTTTTGTTTTGTTTTTTAATTACCTTGGGAAGTATGATAATTCTGAAAACCTTATACCCCGATTTGTATTCTATTGCTTTATATAATGATGTCCACGTAGATTTTGGATTTTTTTTGTGTACTTCTGGCATTCTAATTCAGTTTTTTTGAATGGTCATAATTTACCCTTCTAGAATTCCAGCGCTGAAACGCACTCCATAGAACATACACATAGATGGGCGAGACACGTGGCAAAATCAACGAACAATACCGACTATACACTATTTAAAAAAAAGTAAAAATTATAATGTTTTAGTTGTGGTTCTTTGCCTGGCGAGTGGCAACGACGGGCGCGTGGATGATGACGTCAAGTGTTCAATTCGTATGCTGCAATGAACGCGCATGCTCCTCACTGGGAGTTTTCATGCAAAATGCTATGTATATATTAAAAGGCGGTAGTCGTCGTGCCGCGTCCTGTTCGATATGGGACTCATAGCGACGTATACAACGCGTGTAAAATTTATTGTTTATTTACTTAACATTCGACCACCGCCCTTTAACATTTTTGGCAATAATAATTCGTATTAGTACTTGTACTGGGTTTCCCTGTTTGATCAGTCGACCATACACATGAGATCGCTAATAACATTGTTCACAGTCGTGTGATCTCGATTCAGTCATGATGATATAAATCTACAAAATCTACATGTAACTTAATCAGGAGTTTTACCATATTCGAAGTCAAAGCAATTCTATATTATTTTTATCTACAGGTACTATACCAGGACCATTGATCGTCGGTGTCGTCGTTGACAGCTCATGCCTTATATGGCAAGAAGTATGTGACGACACCGGAAGTTGTTGGATTTATGACAATTATATGTTTGGGATGAAATTTTTCGTTCTCGGTTTCATTGCGTTTGCCATATGTACCCTACTTTTAGGTATTTCAATAATAGTGTACAAACTACCGCCACCAGAGGATAAACGTTCACCGGAAAAAGTCGACGAAGATCAGGACATGGCCACAATTAATCCAGTTCAGTCAATGGAGCAAGAGACCAAATCGGCAACAATGAATCGTCAAGTTAGTACTGTGTCGTTGCTGGGATACACTAGACACGACCAGGAAATCCAAGACTTAAAAGATAACAAATCTTGAATGGTTTGCGAAAAGCGACTTCCATGGTTCTAGATACAATTCGCCATACAAAGTACAACGACTGTTTTGCGGGGAATACATTTTATGATTATTATTCTAATAGTCATTCTTCATTAATGAAAAGCCAATTTTTGATTAATCTAGAAAAGTTGTGCTTTCCGAGTTCCGCAAAACCTTTCTAATAACGCATTGGAACGATGGACGTTTCATCTTATTGTCAAGCAACACATGGTACAGTGGCGCGCGTCTTAGTAACGTAGAGCGTTCTGTGACGTAGATTTATTTGGGTATGACGCTGGTTAAAACACACAACACAAGTATGTAGGTGAACTTGGATTATAATTGTGTCGTATCCGTCAAACATAAAAAGATCGGAATTACTACTATAAATTGTTCTAATTAGTGTCGCACATTTATTCTTCAACTTATGATGTAAAGAATGATTCATATTTGTTTGTTTTTTGTTGTTGTTTTTTTCTGAATAATAATGCAGTGTCACCTTCGACGATGTGTCACCTTTTAAATTGGTACTCTGGGGTGTTGTGTTACAAGGCCACATAAGCTGATAAAGATAATTCATAAAAATATGCAAAATGTTGAACGAAACTTTTGGTAGGAAAAAATATCGCACTCAAAGTTTAATACCAGTGTATTTGTGCTAGATAAGGCGTTCCTATGCTCATGAATGTACACAGTAACATAGTTTTAATGTAATCAAAAGATGAAATTACATTTTGCTGAAGAAAACTTGACATGTTTAAACGCTCTATTTTAAAGAAGCTTTGTGTTGTATTGTGTTGCAAATGGTGTTAACAATCTACACGCCGATGTTTATGTTTAATAAAGACATTGTATCTTACAATTGAATAATGACATTAATTAAATATTCAGTTAATCAATTACGTTATATGAATATCGTCATGTCTCTTGTGTAGTTTTATTTTAAATATATCCAGTGAATCGCATGTGGCTTAAGTTTGACAGGTTGTATTTTTTAAGGAAATTTCATACAATACTATTAAAGTATTCAGGCACTAGCAACTACTAGCAATAA